TTTGTATTTGAAATTCGTAACAGATACGTGGGTGGGTCCACGTCTTCGTATGGCCCCCATGTAACAACACCACCCATTATGGACACCTGTGTAAATAAGATAAGGGGAGGGGGGATAAACATCAATGGTCATCTATGTAAAGGTTATAAGAAAGGGAAGGAAAGGCGGTAATAAATTATGATTAGTACGGATCGATCCAGTTTTAAGTGAGGATTTATTCCGCACCTAGAACAATTCAAGAAAGGGAAGAGGATTAGGGGCTGATGAGGTCGACTCCTAACCTCATCACAAAGCGATGTAACTAACGAAAGAGAAAACGCCGCGAGATTATGTTTCTCGTTTCGTGGCTGGAAGGGAACTCAATTTATTTACAACATATCCTTAATACTAAAGCTTACATCTAATACATTAACAAATGCATTTTATTTACTAATGCACGCTGTGCATTAACGCACACAATACGTTGCGGGAGAAAACGAAGCGTACCTAATTCGTGATCGACTCTTTTTTATCTTCTATTTATGGCCGTGACATTTATTACATTATTTATTACCGACCATAAACCTAGCATATGGAAAACACATGCTTCTTAAGTGTTTTCTTTATATAACTAATTTACATTCTTCGGAAAAGACAAATAAAAATGAGATAAGAATTTAAAGAAGAACATTCAACACACAAACTATTTTTATAACATGTACTATTTTTATAACATGTACAGTAAACAGGGGCAATAAATTAATGTTCTTGTGTTCGAGTTATGTGTAGTAAGAAAACAAATCCTAGTTGTTTATGTTGTAACTAAATAGACATAGAGCAATCCAACATACATTTTTGAGTTGCGGTAAAAATGACGTGGAGTTAAATAATTTTGTTTGACTTGTATGTCGAGGTCGAGGTTGACTTGTGTTTTTCTTCGCATCTACTGTACTGTTAACTAGAAAATTACTGGTGGTTCCTTTAAACAACTGTTTGAGTAGGACGACTTTTTTATACGTGTGACCAGAAAAGATTTTTTTTTTCACACGCGTGGTAACTAAATATTGTTACATAAGAATGTTTACATATACGATCCTATCTAGGGAAAAACATTCAAGTGTTTTTTCTAATTTTGTTTGTGTTTTCATTGATTGTGGTTAAATGTGCAATATTATTTTCGAATGTTTTTTTTTTTTTTTTTTTAAATAGTACAATATCAAAAGACCGATTCCGGTCCTGTTGAAAAGACTTGTATGCTGAAGAAAAGTGGCGCTCTTTTCTGCTGAGGTTATTGTTTTTACATACCTCACAGTTTTTTTTATCAACCCTTTATTTATTTTATTTACGAGTGTTTTCTTTTCACACCTGCTTCAATAGGAAGACATTTCAAAGTCATTTTTAAGATGTGAGACCATTTTAAATATATTGAAATATTTCTTTCGTAAATATCGTAAATTTTCGTGAAATCATGTTTTTAATAATAGGTATCAAATTATCCATATGTGTATCCTACCGTGTGCATTATTGTTGTAAACTGAAATGATTTTTTTCCTTTTTTTATTTTAAATGAAAATTTTAATTTTCTGTTGAGACTTCGACGAAAAACCACGCTCCCTACAAAGAAAAAGAATATTTTTTGCACTATTTTTTAATTTTTTTCTGAATAAAATAAGAAAAAAACTCAAAAATGAATTCGATGGCTTTTAAATGCAATATTTGCGCTGTAGAGTTTGTTAACAGCATGGAATATCAAAAGCATTGTGAACTACATAAGTTATGTAATTTATGTAATCAGATATTTATAAATTCTGAAGCATTAGAATTTCATTATGGAACTCATCACAATCAGCAACAACAAGGTCAATATAATTTTGAGCAATATCATCATGCTGGACAATACAATAATCATGGGCAATACAATTATTCTGGAGAATATAATCAACAACTACAATCATATCAAAATAATCGCTTCCATCCATATATTTTACATCAACAACAGAAAAAAGAACTTCATACATCACAGCAGCAACAACTTGATCAACAACAGGAACCACACAGTTTTCAAAATCAACAGCAACAATATCAAACATACCAACAACAATACAATGTTAATGAACAACAGTCGCAATATCAAACATATCACCATCATCAGCAAATGGAAAATATCGAAGGAAATGAACAGCAAAAATATAACCAACAACAATATCAAGCTTCTCAACAACAACAAATGGACAATCACGAAGGAAATGAACAAAATATTCAGCAACAGATGTCTGAAAGAAAGAGGCGACCATATGTCTTTATGTATTGCGATTCATATTAGTAAAGCATGTTTCATGGTAAATATAATATAAACAATGTATCAATTTGTGTATTTAACATGTTGGTTTCTTTCAGATTGATGAGGAGTCAGCTTACTACTAATAGAAGAAAAATATCAATTTGTAATAGCTGTTTCTACTGCATCCCCAGAGAAGATCTTACGGTTATTCACAAAAGGTATTGTAGTCGTGTCGTCACAAATATGTCCACAGTTGAGGAAAGTATTTTAGAATTTAAGAACTTTAGAAAACAAATGGACGTACCATTTGTTATTTATGCAGATTTTGAATGTGTTTTAGAAACTTAATAGCAGGTGGGGAAAGAATTAAGAAGCATATTCCATGTGCATATGGATTCAATATTAAATGTTTATTTGATAGTAGTTTAGATGTATATCATCACTATAGTGGTGAGGATGCAGCTCAGAAATTTATAGAGCAATTAGATGTTTCCTGTAGAGAAATTTATAATAATTACTTGTCTCTTAATATGCCAATGAAACCGCTATCATCTATCGAGCAAAGTATATTTGACTCAGCACTAAACTGCCATATTTGTGATAAAAATTTATATGATGATAAATTTAGTGATCATTGTCACGTAACTGGTAAAATTAGAGGGGCAGCTCATAATGTATGCAACATTAATTATACGGTAGCACAATTCATCCCAATATTTTTCCATAATTTTTCAGAATATGATTATCATTTGCTTGTTAAAGAGCTTTTGACCACTATAGAGGGTAACACAACTATAATTCCTCTAACAAAAGGAAAATATATTTCTTTATCGTATACGGTGAATATGAATCCTTATGATAGACGCAAGACGTTTGAATATAGATTTTTGGATTCAATTCGTTTTATGGCTAGTAGTTTAGGTGCTTTAGCTACTGTACAGATGGAGATATGTTATCTATTAGAAAACATTTCACCAATGATAATGAATTCACTCTCATGAGGTAAAAGGGAATATTCTGTTATGAACATTTAAATTCCTTTGAGATTTAAACATTTAAATTCCTTTCTGCTCTGAAAACAAAAAAGTTGGGGGTTCAAAATATGACAAACTGATTGCCGATTTTGATCCAAAGAAATCGTATAGCATACATTATATGACTTTAAAGTAATGCTTAGATAATGGTCTGGTTTTGGGTAAAGTTCATCGCGTAATTTCCTTTGATCAGTCTCCCTGGTTGGCTTCATATATAGATAAAAATACTGAAGAAAGACAAAAAGCGGATAATGATTTCTTAAGGAATTTATTTAAACTCTTCAATAATGCAGTATTTGTAAAAGCTATGGAAAATATAAATAAACGGAAAGATATAAAGTTAGTAAATCATCAAACAACTAACCGAAAGTTAGCAAAATGGAAAATTTATGATTTCCATTACGGTTATATGAAGAATAAATTTGGTGAGCGCGTAATTCTAAATTATATGGATACGGATTCATTCATATATACTTTATATACTATATATACTGAAGATATCTATGAGGATATAAGAGCAGATGTTGATCAATACTTCGATAGATCAGCTTACCCTGAGGACAATGCGTATAACATACCCCGACGAAATAAAAAAGTTATAGGTATGATGAAAGACGAGAATTGTGGAAAAATTATGCTTGAAGTAGTTGGTTTAGGCTCAAAAACGCACTCTTATACGGTAGATGACGCCGTGAAAGTTAATAAAAGCTAAAAAGAGTTATCTAAAATTGTATTAAGTTTTAAAGATACTAAAAGAATGGTTCGCCAAGATAAGGTGAACACATATGCTTGGGGTCATGTAGCTATAGAGCGTGAAAAAAACTTTATAAACCTATTAAATGAAGCAATTGATATTGATAATATACTGTGAGCGTCAAATGAATGTAAACACCTCATATAAATTAACAAAAAACTTAATTTTATTAAAACAAAGAGCGATATAAAAGAAAATAAATATTATAATTTATGAGTAACAAAAGACTAAATAAAAGTCCAAAAAAACAAAAATCTAAAATAATGGAAAATAAATAAAAATTGACTTCATTTATTAATTTCCCTAAAAAAACGCGTCAAATGAAAGTAAACAGTGGCATCCTTCGTAGAACAGACATCCCAGAAAAAGTATGGTGGCAACTTTGCGAACATTATTTTTGATTGGCATCACAGAGGCAAAGTACCGTTAGAAATTTTTGTGACTTTAAATTTTTTTTCTTGCGAATAAGTAAGCTGTGTCGTCACAGTTTATTACACAAAAATAAAAAATGGGAAAACAAACTTCAGATGATGTCCGTAAAATCGTTATTGATTTGCGTAAAAAAGGCAAATCCCTTCGTGAAATTGGTACAATTGTTGGAAGGAACCATTGTACTATAAAAAAAATTATAGACATATTCACTAAACATCAAAAATTGGAGATTTTACCGCGAGGAAGACGGCCAAGGTGTCTTACAGAGCAAGAAGTAAGAGCCATTGTTAGGGAAGTTAAGGCAAATCCGACTTCGAGTGCAGTTAAAATAGCTGAGAATATATCGCAGCAGACTGGGAAGATGGTAAGTGCCAGTACAGTTCGCAGATCCCTTCACCAGAATGGTTTGCATGGCAGAGTTCCACGTAAAAAGCCTTATGTGTCAAAGCCGAACCAAATTAAAAGGTTAAATTTTGCCAAAAAATACAAAAATCATCCCATATCATTTTGGGAAAATATAATGTTTACGCCAAAAATATGGCGTAGTGCCAACGAAGCTTTAAAGGATAACTGCGTGGTTAAAACTGTGAAACATGGTGGAGGATCCGTAATGGTCTGGGGATGCATGGCAGCACCGGAGGCCGGCAAAATGGAATTTATAGAATCAACAATGAAAAAAAAAGATTACCTCAAAATTCTACAGCGCAATGTTGCTCCTAGTGTAGAATAATTGGGCTTAACAGGGCAATGGATATTCCAATAGGATAATGATCCCAAACATTCTGCTAAAATTGTTAAAGAATGGCTGCTGTACTGCACACACAAAACACTTGATCATCCTCCACAATCCCCAGACATTAATCCAATCGAACATCTTTGGGAATATTTGGACAAAAAAGTAAGAGAAAGAAATATTTCTTCCAACGATGGTCTAAAGGCAGCGTTACAGGATGAATGGAGCAAAATTCCACCTCAGTTTACAAAAAAACTTGTTGAATCAATGCCTAGGAGGTTGGAAGCAGTAATTAAATCGAAAGGACTCCAAACAAAATACTAAAAAGTAAAAATTAAATTAATTTAAGGACATGTATTTAGCAGTGTTTACTTTCATTTGACGCGCTAAATTAGAGAAAAAAATATATGAAGTCAATTTTTATTTATTTTCCATTATTTCATATTCTTTTTTTGCACTTTTGTTTAGTCTTTTATTACTCATTAATTATAATATTTATTTTTTTTATATCGCTTTTTGTTTTAATAAAATTAAGTTTTTTGTTAATTAATATGAGGTGTTTACTTTCATTTGACGCTCACATATGTATATGTTTATATCTACTTTTACATAACAAAACGAAGAAATAATTAAACAATATAAAAATATTTTTAAAATGTCTTTTTTGACTACTTCGTTTTGGTGGCTTATATCAATTGCAACAATTGGATTTTCTTTAAACTCTTCCCAAGATAATATTGGTTGCGGTTCCCTTAAAAAGTAGTTTTGTTGAAATTTCGCATACATATCGTAAAGTACGGCATTTTTGTTTTCATTAAACTTCAGATTTAAATCATCGTACGGATATGCTTCTGAATTCAAATGAACATTTTACGATTACAAAATTTGAGTGAATAAATTTCCCATTCTTTTTCTAGGGCGAGTAATATAAAGCGTGGGCGTTCTCTATTAGTCGACAATTTTACATTCCAATGACATTTAGTTGCACCCTGAAACGTTGGATTAATATGACAATCCCAACTTCGAAAAGCAATAGGAAGAGTTTTTCCATTCCATTATTTATTATTCTCATAATCTGCAGCTTTGATGAATCTGCTAAGCGTACATGAGGTATCCTCCATGTTACATTATTTATTTCTACATTGAGCTTCTCGTTAGTATCGGTAGAATAACATGCATTTTGATTACATGATGTTTACTACTTAATATTACTTTATTATAGTCCTCTGCAAACCCCAACAGCATTTTAAGTGGAATACAAAAATTTAACATGTTCCTATTTAAATCAGCACCATTAGTCCATCCAGCATTTCTCATAATATTACTCTCAACACTTGTAAGAGAAACAAAATTTGTAATAGTGCTCGATGCTCCTAAATAGCGTGTACAATCAATTTCGATATCATTTAATTCATATCGTATTTCATCAAATAAATATGCTACGCAGTTTTTACGTAAACGAGCATTAGCCGTTAAGTTTCCATCTGATGTTGTTATTACACCTTCAACGTAGAAGTAACTCTCACTTGGCAACACATATAAATCTCGATTTTGTATTGTAATTCTAATTTCATCATTATTCTTAAAAAACGAGTGTAGGGTACATAGCTGTGATAATCTTTTTTGATTATGCTGTCATCAGAATACGGTGCGTCTTCAACATTAAGTATTTCAGACATTTTCCTTTAAGTGCAGTTTAACGGATTTCAAAAATTTTTAATTTTCCTCCGTCAGTGCTCGTGTTTTAAGTTTTTGTAGGAATGCGAGACTCTTTCTGTGTTTTAATATATTTATTACATATAATAATTTTGATATAGGTCTCAAATGTAGCCGAAGAGTAGTTTCTTCGCCGCGAAAATTAATCAGGCGTTGTTCTTGATCAATAATCCAAATTTTTAGCCAACTTATTTCTTTCACATTCACAGGTAAATAAATCAAATTACGAGGTATTTCATCTATTTTATATCCAGGGGAAACATTTATTCCTAATTTATATTAAGTATGTACATGTGTGTTATTCATGTATGCTCCCGTAGTTATACTACACTGAATTTGAATTGCGTTTACTCGCAAAATATTTACTGGGAGTTGTGAGCAATGTCTTCCTCCTGGTAGTAAGATACCGCCCTCGAATCCAAATAGTAAGCTTATAGAACGGTGCTGATTAAAATCGATTGAGTCATGGGAGGAAAATATTTCAAGCTGTAGTGTGTTGTAATTAGCTACAATTTCAATGGATTTTGTATTGTTTTCGTTTTTATATGATGTTTTAAAATAGTCAGCTATATCCTCAAGTTCATATGGACCAATAGGAATCTCTATTATTTGTCCTCCAATATGAAATAGATTATTATCATAATCAAAATTAGGTATAAAATTATATGAATGAAAATCAATTAAGGCACACTCATAATCTCCTAACACCTGAATTGGCGGAAAATAATCTGCCGTTAAAACGGATGATTTTCCCGTTAGAGCCAATGTTATTGACATTATGAGTGCTTGCTTATAAATGAAAACACATTTTTCTTTACTTTATTTTATAAATTTTTATTTAACTTTTTTTTCTTTTTTTATAATATATCAGTTTTATTTATTCATGAGTTATGATGGTTTGTAAACCCCAACCATTTTATATATACCTTATCACCTTTTGATTTTAAGACTTTTCTACCAGGTACGTATTTGGGAAACGAGTATGTTTAATTTCTACGTTATAGAATCCTCCCTTGATAGGATTACCCTCATAATCCTCCTAAATATATGTCACAGGATTTGTAATTTGAATCGATTTTATGCGAAAGATTTCAGTGCTATAGTTTGGTGTATAACTCTTTTCAAATACATTTTTATATTAACTTATTCGAACATAATATCCAACACGATACTTTGGTTTAAGAAATGTTTTAATGTGATTGTACGCTGAATCTAGCAAAATTTGTTCATTGCTCTTGGTTACATCAATGGGTCGCATATTTATAGTTCCATCTTTAGTTCGATTGTATTCATGAACCAGCTTTCTGTAGATATCAATCCAATGATATGTACCATTATAAGAAAATTCTCGAAAAATTTTATTTTTCAAGGTTCTGTTAAATCATTCAACAATTGAGGCTTTCATAACACTATATGTAGAATAGTGATTTGTTGCGTATATATCTGCTAACTTCTTAAAGTCTTTGTTAAAAAACTCTTTTCCATCATCCGTTTGTAAGTTGTTAGGCACTCAGCCAGCAATCAAAATTTTTTGAAATGCCGCGCATACATCTTTCGCGCTTTTTGGTTTGATCAATATCAGTTAGCAAATATTTATATCCTTTATTAATGGTTGAATAATTACCCATTTCAATCAAATCTGCTTACCATAAATCATCAATACCCTTTGTAATAACTCTTCGGTGAGGAAAACGTTTCCTCGCTTGAGAATGGAGTTCATTTACTATAGTCCTTCTTTCCATATTTATTTATTGAGAACTTTATTCAATATAATACTATGTGGCATTGACATTGGCGATATAATGCTCTTATCATTTCTATATTTGTTTTATTTTCTTTTTAGGTGATTTATTTCATTAAATAAATTTCATATCTCTGATGATATCACTCTTCTTGTAATGCTGGTCAATATCAATTCCAAAGACTTATGAAGCATTTTTTGTCAAATTACTAGAACTTGAGTAGTGACCCTGCCCCCCGTCAGTGTATTATATTGTCTTCTCTTACCTCTTGAATTATTGATATTATTTCATTGTCCTGATTTGTATGACCAGCATTTTTGGAGGCTATTAATAATTCTAAACGTTCAACCAACTCATTTGGATCGTTCCCATATATATAATTTGGTTTCTTTAGATTAACGTTCATTAATCCTTCACCTATGTGAGTTGATTGAAACAGTTTTTTTATAATCTTTGTATACTTCGGACCTTTATTACCTCTAATTTGTCCGGTTGATTCATAATTTCTCCGGTGTACGCACGTACTCTCTACAATTTTCTTATATATATATCTAATTCAAATTTATCAAAACCAGTAGGACTTTTGTGAAGTAAAGGATTGTATAGACCGCTTGATAAAGCCCATGTTTGGTTCCCAATTTTTTTTTGACATCTACAAAGTACGTTTTACTGTCACCGAATTTCCAATCACCATTTTCTTCTTTCTGGGGACCGTATATATTATCGTATGTATTATATCTACATAAGGATGTAAGGCTTTCCACCCCCTTTTTATACTGCCAATCTTCTCCTTTCTCCTCCTCCTCTTCAGAATAGAATGTATCATCATCGTCATTAGAGTCATCTTTAAGTTCACTTTTGACAACAAAGTCCTTTTCTAGTTTTAGTTCGTTTTCCTTTCATGGCGTTTATCGACTTTTTGTTTCATTGAAGTTTAAATGTGATAATATAACCACATCATTTAATGGTTTTATAATGGGTTTAAATGTATGCTGTAGTCGTCTTCCGATGTCATCCTCTCCTTCTTTAATAGATTGAAATTTTTTCCTCAGAATACTCCTTGATTTAATGAGTTTTTTTAAAACATTCTCATCCATTGTTTTTCTTCCAGTCATTATTAAGATTTTTCAACAGAACAAAGGTAATCCTAAACTGATCGGTTTATGGTAAACAGATCGCTTTGCAGTGTAGGAACAGCAGAGTTTATGTAAACAGGGCGGTTTATTATAAACAAGTCAGTTTGAAACAGGGCGGTTTACAGTAAATAGTTCAGTTTGAAACAGGGCGGTTTACAATAAACAGGTCAGTTTGAAACAGGATCGGTCTACAGTAAACAGGTCAGTTTGAAACAGGGGAGGCTTATTATTATTATTATCAGGTCAGTTTGAAATAGGGCGGTGTTCAGTAAGGAGAACAGGTCAGCTCCAGATGGTTTTTTTTTTTTTTTTTTTTTTTTTTTTTTTTGAAGCGGTTTCGATTGAATATAGATGTGCTTTATTCAAGATATTATAAAGCACTAAATATGAATGAAGAAATCCTTTTCTATAGCGACCGTTAGTTATGGTATATTCTTTACTTATAACCAAAAATCCATATTCATCGCTCCAACATTCTCTACATTAAACTTGTTGAATGACATATCGCCTCAAATATGATCATTAAATGCGTTCATGTTGATATTATCCTGTTTGAAAGCTATTATGAAGT